CTTTTAGGCCAAGGTGGGCGTCTGGGTGTATTACATGGTTTTATTTGTGCATCTGTGTAGGGATGAGGGAATGTCAGAGATAGTGTAGTGGAGGGAGAGAAGTTGTGTGTAAGGAAGAGGAGATTGCTAATAGTGCTTTGTTTTATGTATTTGTTTGTGTGCGGGGGCGAAGAGTGTATTTTGTATGTTGGTGAATTTGTATACTTCGCATTTAATCACCTGTTAATTTGTTTATGTGTGAGCGTGTGAGTGTGTGTATTTTTTTTATCCATGTGTACGTTACTCCTGCGCACATGCATAAACGCACTCTATGCATGGAAGGTACAACATTATAACTCAGTAACAGGAAGACAAGTTTACAAAGGAGAAAATATCATCTCCAACTTCACTGCAAACGTGTGAAAAGTCTTGGGTTGATTTATCCGTTATAGCGTCGCCTCTTGTCGTGCAAAAGAAAACTCAATTTCTCGCAGGAAATGACAAATACAGCTACCCCCCCCTCCCCCACCCTAATGCTCCGTAAAAAAATGACAAATGCAAACATTTCTTATCGAGGCAAGCACTGAATGAGGTAATTGATAGCCTTTTCAGATCGTAATTTTGAAAGATTGATAGAAATTAATTGAAATATGTTGCTGACAGGGGGCCAACGCGGATGACAGTTAAGAGCGATCGACACTGGATTAAGGAAGAACCTACACAAGGTCTAATAGGGTCTTAAACTCCGTCATAGCGTGGTGGAAAAAGGTCTTAGCGAGTTCTAAGTAAGGTTTCTAAGTAGGGTTTCTAAGTAGGGTTTAGAATAAACTTTTAAATAAATTTAAGGTTTAGCATGGTGGAAAAGAGTCTTAGGGAGTTCTAAGTAAGGTTTCTAAGTAGGGTTTAAAATAAGCTTTAAAATAAGTTTAAGGTTTAGCATGGTGGAAAAAGGTCTTAGCGAGTTCTAAGTAAGGTTTGAAATAAGCTTAAGTTTAAGATAAGCTTTAAAATAAGTTTAAGGTTTCGCATGGTGGAAAGGGGTCTTAGCGAGTTCTAAGTAAGGTTTCTAAATAGGTTTTAAAGTAAGTTTCGTAAAGGGTTCCAGTAGGATCTAAGTAGTGTGTAAACAAGCGAGTTCTAAGAATAGGGTTTAAACAAGGTGTGAAAAAGAATATGAAAATAAGTCGGATCGAAATGAGGTCTTATTTAGGTCTAAACAAGGTCTAAGCAGGTCTGAAGCAGGGTCTAAACAAGGTATAATCAAGGACTAAACAGAGAATAAGCAAGGTTTAAGTAGGATCTAAACGTGGTTTTAGCAGGTCTGAAGCAGAGTCTAACCACGGTCTAAGCAGGTCCGAAGCAGAGTCTAACCATGGTCTAAGCTGGTCTGAAGCAGACTCTAACCATGGTCTAAGCTGGTCCGAAGCAGAGTCTAACCATGGTCTAAGCAGATCCAAAGCAGAGTCTAACCATGGTCTAAGCAGGTCCGAAGCAGAGTCTAACCACGGTCGAAGCAGATCCAAAGCAGAGTCTAACCATGGTCTAAGCTGGTCCGAAGCAGAGTCTAACCACGGTCGAAGCAGATCCAAAGCAGAGTCTAACCATGGTCTAAGCAGGTCCGAAGCAGACTCTAACCATGGTCTAAGCAGGTCCGAAGCAGAGTCTAACCACGGTCTAAGCAGGTCTGAAGCAGAGTCTAACCATGGTCTAAGCAGGTCTGAAGCAGAGTCTAACCATGGTCTAAGCAGGTCTGAAGCAGAGTCTAACCATGTTCGAAGCAGGTCTGAAGCAGAGTCTAACCATGGTCTAAGCAGGTCTGAAGCAGAGTCTAACCATGGTCTAAGCAGGTCTGAAGCAGAGTCTAACCATGGTCTAAGCTGGTCCGAAGCAGAGTCTAACCATGTTCGAAGCAGGTCTGAAGCAGTCTAACCATGGTCTAAGCAGGTCTGAAGCAGAGTCTAACCATGGTCTAAGCAGGTCTGAAGCAGAGTCTAACCATGGTCTAAGCAGGTCTGAAGCAGAGTCTAACCATGGTCTAAGCAGGTCTGAAGCAGAGTCTAACCATGGTCTAAACTTGGTCCAAAGCAGAGTCTAACCACGGTCTAAACTTGGTCCAAAGCAGAGTCTAACCACGGTCTAAACTTGGTCCAAGGCAGAGTCTAACCACGGTCTAAACTTGGTCCAAAGCAGAGTCTAACCACGGTCTAAACTTGGTCCAAAGCAGAGTCTAACCACGGTCTAAACTTGGTCCAAAGCAGAATCTAACCATGTCCGAAGCAAGGTCCGAAGCAGGGTCTAACAGTGGTCTAAGCAGAGTCTAACCATGTCCGAAGCAAGGTCCGAAGCAGGGTCTAACAGTGGTCTAAGCAGAGTCTAACCATGTCCGAAGCAAGGTCCGAAGCAGGGTCTAACAGTGGTCTAAACGTGGTCTTAGCAGGCGCTACTCTATCAGCAGGTCTGTGCGACTCGGAAGACGAGGAAGCAGGAGCGGAACACACTCGATGCTTTTTGCACCGAAGCG